CGATCCCTTCATCTCCCAGCCTGTGCTGATATCGAGGGTTGCCCCGACCAATATGCAGGACCTTGCACTTGGCCTTGTTGAACTTCATGAGGCTGTCACAGGCCCATCTCTCCAGCCTGTCCAGGTCCCTCTGGATGGCTTCCCATCTCTCAGGTGTGTCAATTGTACCACTCAGCTTGGTGTCCGGAGTCCAAGGTGCGATCCTTAAACCGTTTATGTCCTTCTAACTTTTTGCCAAACTAACCTGACTGTCAAAGACCAAGGATTTAGACATCAGCTTGTATTTACTCATCACCTAACCAAAAAGAAAGCACCCAAACTGCTTCTGCCCCAGCAAAATCTGCTTCCCCCAGCACAGCAGTCGAAGAACGTGCTGTTAAGAGATCTGCAGACCACAGTGCGAAGATGACCCCACAGAGAGAACATGCTAAAAATGAGCCCAGTTCACCACACAAAACATTGCACTGCTAGCCTGACAGCTAGCTACAGCAATCCAAAATGTCCTTTACTATTGCTCCAACCAATATTTACAGAAGAACAAAAACACAGCTAGAGAAGTTTCAGGCAATATTGTACCCAAATTTGTTCCTTAAAAACTAGACAAGCAGAAAACACACAGACACAATCTGAGAATCTCTCTTTAAAGTAGGAGTAAACCATTTAAAGTTCCTCTAAATCTATTCCACTGCTCTTTAGCTTTACCAAGAAAGCAGCTTATTGTGTATCAGATTTTATGGCCAACCCTGTCACAGAAATCAGATTACTCTACCCTTCCAATTTTCTCTCTTCTAATAAGCACACTTAGTAACAGGAGGTTTGTCCTTTCTTGCTCTCGCTATATGCAAAATACCTCTTCTGCAGACTTCTGCTACTCAGAGTTTGACACAACTGTGCTAAGAGTCTTTATATTCATCACAGCTCCAACAGCAAACCAGATCCTTTCCTGAATGGCAAATGAAGTCTGAATAAAAAGGGACTAGCCAAATTTTGCCAGTGGGCAAGACCCATTCCCACTAAGTCATTGTTCAGAGGAAGCCCAGTCATTTCCCCAACTGTACAACGACCAGTATATTTGGATTAAAAGCAGAGAACTTGCATGGAAGTACATGCTGCTATGGCTAGACTGCTTCTAGCATCTCTGATAACAAAACACCCCAAGCCTATCTGGTATTACAATGCAACAGGAAGATACAGAGATTTTTATAAGTCACCAATACATTTCCTGAAAGACTAATCACTAGGTAAGATCATTAGAACAAGGTATTTACCTTTCCTGAGTCAGAAAGGGAGATTTACAGAACACACAAAGTTTTCAGCACAGATTTCTTAAAGATCGTGGCTTTATAACAAAAATCGCAGAACATAGAAGTTTTCTACAGCGATTTGGCATTTGCAACTTGAAATATATTTACAGGGAAAAGCAAAATAGCTGCTTCCAGACAAGTGCATGTGTTCCACCAGACTCGCCCTTTCTGACAAGAGGATGCTCAAGAATGCCAAACACCAGGTTTGCAGGCTAGACTTGGATACCTCTGGCAAAGCAGTCACAATCTAATAAATACAGCTCAAAATATTATGCTTATCAAAACACTGACCGCCTGCTCTAAGTGCTCCCAAACCAGCAGCACACTGGAAGCCTGACAGCACACATACCAGAAACCTCTACACTCCACCAAATAAACAAACTTCAAATTCAAAGAGATATTTAAAATTTGGAGCAACATTTGTTATCTACTCTTCATCTCTTTCATGGGAAAAAGCATGCAGGCAAGAAGCATAATCATTAGCAATCACATGGACACAGTACTACATTTCATGGATTTTCTTTCTAGTTTAAAATAGATTTTTTAGCCAAATCGAACGCAACTGAACTGAGATATTATCCAGCCAAGGGAGCCCAGAAGGTTAGCGTCCTGGACCAAAAGATGAGGCTTGTAATCTTGTCTTTGCTCTGTCCATTCTTCTTAACTCACCTCACCTCTCATTGAGAATGCTAGACAACGGTAGGGTTTTCTGCTGGTTTTAAGAAACGCGATACATATGCTGGTACAGCATCCACTTACATCCCAAACAGCAAAGCACTTTTTTCCTTTTTTACTCCTTTGAAGATTCTTTAGAAGTGGCTAGAAGATGAAGATATTTTTGAAAAACTCTTTCCAAGTTTATGCCTTAACATAAAATAAATCCATCCTTATAATGGAGCACATAAAGACAGAAGATAAATACAACATTATTGGTTGTAAATGCCATTTTGCATGAGGAACTGATCATAAGTCTTCAAATGGCACATCCCAAGTGATCAAGAAAATTCCTCCTTTTGCACTGACTCCTGCGGCACGAACATTCACTGTTTTGCTAGCCAAACACAGGGTTTTATGGGCTTGGGATTTGCTCATTTGTTTTTAGGTAAAATTGAATCTACTTTTCCTAATTTTGATCTAATTCTTAGTCTCCTTGAAAAAACTCACAGGTTTAATGACAAAGAAGATTTAAAAACCCATGCAAAGCAGTTTAAGCAATTATTTCAAGCTGCACTCTAAAGACCAGATTTCCCCCTCCCCCTCTATTACATAAAGTACATGTTCCTCTGCTTTACAGGCCTATAAAGCTTTCCAGGCTCCTGATCAGAGATTAATTAACCAATCACTTTTTCCTTTAGGATTGCAAGCAATATTTATTGCCCTTTTAAAGGAGTATAGTTGAAAATGCTATTTATCTGCTACATTAAACTTCCAAATCCTAACTGGCACACAGTAAAGCCACGAAGTTTACATGAGCTGTGCTGTCATCAGAGCAACTCACAACCCCATTACATGACGAGTAGATTCAGATTACCAAAAAAAAAGCACTGAGATTTTAGCTATTGGAAAGACTCTCTCAGTTAAGAGAGTGTTTTCTAAAAATTCTTACCAGCAGTTTGTTGGCAATGCACTGCCAGCAATTTTACACTATGAGCTCTGCATCTTCTGGGTTGTTTCTACAACACTGACCACACTGATCCAATTCTGAATCTTCCTTCCAGCTTCCACCAATGTCTTTTTTTCTCTTAATAGGGCTAAAACCTTCTCTTAAAACCAGTTTATGTCTTAAAATTCCAGTGCCAGTAATTCTGTAGTCAGAACATTGGCAAATAGGCTTTACTCTGACTCCTACCTTTATAAATCAGGACTACATCAAGAGCAGTCTGAATATCAAACAGCAATTATGCAACCACAACTAGCAATATTCAAGAATCTCTTCGTAAGTCTCAGGAAAAGAATTCCATTTTGCAACACTAATACTGATTGCTTGTCACAACATAGTAAAAATAGGTAAAATACCTATTATGTGGAATGTTTGTGATATTCAATACTGCATTTCTTCTGCTGACAGCAAGCAGAAACAAGGAAATGCAGTGATGTGGCAGATTATCAGATGTTAGTCTACTCCTTTATTGAATACAGATTCATTTACTACATTAAAATTGTCTTAGAATACCTTGAAGACTACCGTAGGCCTGCTGAGAAGACAAATTCACTTAAATGCAAGTTTTTATAATACGATAAACAAAGATTCCAAAACATTGACCTATTATGACAGGTTCAAATTCCTGCCTGCCCGAAAGAGAAATACACCAAATCTTCAAACTCAAAAAAAAATTAAAAAAAGGTCCAAACTCGACACAGTGCACCTAAATGAGCTCTTCTACAAATGAACTTCAAACTCTTCTTCAAATGAACTCATTAGGCATGACATTCGAGGCACTATGAGATCTTCGAACAACAACCACAACAAAAATCTTTCCACATTCCAGGGCAATTATCTTTCATCATCTAGAGCCTGTTGTTTTGTGACAGCAAGGTTCTGCATTTCCTAGGAAGCCAGTAGTACTGTGGTGCACAAACATGGCTTACCTTAAAGAGAGACAAAAGATATTTTAGATATAGTGCCCCCTAAAAACCTCAAGAGAAGTTTATAAGATCTGGTAAAAGGAATAAAGGCGCAGAAGCATAAAGGAAATCTTATAAATCTGTAGTCAATCCAGAAAAAATCTAAAAGGGACTTCCTTGAGTTCATTTGACATTACAACAAGAGACTTTACAAGACCTCCTGCTTTTACAAGCTGAAGGCCAAACCTTATCATCCTCTCAGTTGCAATCCCCTTACTGAATCCACACAATCAGGTACAACACCTTTATGGATTCAAATGCAGGATTGGGTCATGATGACTTCCATGAACAAAGGGCTGCAACTTGGCAGAACGAGGCCAAGTGTATTTCTGAGGAACTATAGCAGGCCGTAGAAATGAACTCATGCATAACAACACAAGTGTATCTTGAAACAGAAACTGAAGAACTAGATTTCCATGTTACCTTTTTCATTTCATTTTCTAAGTTTTCTTCCTCTTGACCTTCAGACAGTCGCCGCCTTAACTCTGCTATTTCCCGTTCTGTATTTTCTCGATATTGATTCCACTGAGCTCGCTCTTGCTCCAACCTGTGATGATACTGGAGCTCATATTCACGAACAGTCTCTATAAAACAGCATTTTCAAAACTTATTTTCAATGTAAATTAAAAATCAAAGCTTTAGGAACTCCATCTCTAGCCAGTCAATGATTTATCATAGTTGATCAAAACTAGGAAAACAGTGAACTCTCCCTTCCTTTCTCTGACTCTTGCCTCAAAACCCAACCACATAAGCCAAAGATCCAAAGGAATTGCATCTCCATTTGTACCGTCACTGGAACACAAACAAACAAGCCCCCAAAACTGTGTTACTCCTAATTTCAAAACAACTTACATCTAATATCCTGTTTAGCAGCACATTTTGTACCTCTAACCGCATCATCCAAACAAACCACCAAAACCCTACTTATTTACTCTAAGATGCAAAGGGAACAGAACTTCTCACATAGCCTTCACTTGCCTGTTATTAATATTGCCCCTTCAGGTACGGAGCTGTCTTTGTTTACACACAGACAGCAGCCGGCACAACTGAGCCTTGGATCTAGGTCCGTGTGTCTACGTAGACCATCAACAAGCAGAAATTTGTGTACTCAATATACATGAAGATTTGCCTTCTCTGGTGGAAAAAGCATAATCAGGTGATGGAAAAACTGCCTACAGCCAAGAGGCTGTAGGCTCAGGATATCGTGTTCCTGTTTGTGAACCCTCAAGAAAACAGCCAGTTATGGCAACAGTTCGTCCCCAGTTTTCATTCTGCGTTTTGTTCCTTGCACATAGTTTGTCTCAGAAATGCCAACAGCTGTGCAACAGGCAAACATAACAAAGAATAGCTCAGAACTATCGAGAAAAAAAAACGACCCACAAGTGATACAGAGCAGCATGTTCGGTCACGAGCCTGGGGAAAAGTCCACGTGATAGTACTGGACACTTGACTGTCTGACAGCAGAGCTACGTTTACAGAGGAGAGAAGACAAGCATGCTGTCAGCATAAAGCTGTTCTCAGTCTTGTCGAATTACATGCATTATAGTTAGCTTTTGGAATGGTGAGGTCTCACATTCATAGCCCCTCAAAAATGCTTTGCATATATGTGGGAGTTCTCATTGCCATGACTCCTTCTAAATTCCATCCTTGTATTAAGAGAAAAGAACCACCAGGCTCCTTTTCACACACTTGGGAACCACACTTCATCCGTCACTTCTGCAGCCCAGCTTTGCCAAGCCATGAAAAGTAGCTATCCATGCTCCGTGCATGAGCCAACACACACCACTGAACACCTACTAAAGAGGTGTCTGATCTCAGCAGCAGCACCTTGCCTGGTTGTTACCTTTCATAATAGCTTGTAGTGAAGCTACTTCTTCTTGCCACTGTCTCTTCACCTCATCGATAGCTTCCTGCTTTGTATTCTCAGACACCGTAGCTATAGCTTTGATGTTCTCCATTTCAGCATGAGCTTCCATCAGCTGAGTCCGCAACTGCCCCAGATCATCTTGGGCTGCTTGCAGCACTGCATTTTGTCTTTTGAGGTCCTCTGAAAAGAAGTATTATTTACATTTAGCTTGATTAATAAATTCAATCTGAAGAGTATCCATAGTTACTATGGCAAAGAACAGTGCTCTAACAAGGGGGTGAAGGAAGCACTGATATTAAAGCATTTACCCATAACAACTGAACAAACATTAGCAGGCATCTTCAGGGCACACTATTTCTTGACTTCCCTTGCCCTTGCCTTGTATTAAAAAAGTACCTTCTCATGGACACAGCCACAAAGCAGCCACTGTAGATTTAACATATGAATCAACATACCTGACGAAAGTGAACTGTGCGTTTAATTAGTTCATTATTATTTAAGTCAATCTGGTAATGAATTTGGAAAAGATCTACAGACAGGAAGACAGTTCTTCCCGCAGTTTTGGCGCCAGCTTGATCCTGAGTTTGGATGAAACACTTCATATTTCTTGAACACTACATGGAGCCCACGTAAGAAAGTGATGCAGCCCAATTTGCTCTTTACCATGGCTTTGCTAAAACTGAGCTTCTAAAAGAAAGGATATATTCAACACAACACCCACTACTTCTCTAATTGTTGCACCTATAAACAGAAAATAATCTAATTTCACATTATCCTCCTGAGTTTCTGGTTAATCTGAATCAAAAAGCTCTGCAAGACACATATTGTACCATTAATTCCAAAAGCTTTAACACAAAATATAGTTTTATGTCCACATAGCCTACTTCAATGGCAATTGCTTTTAGCGGAAACATCTGGCCCGTGTACAAACACACACCAAGCCACCTCCATGTATCTCCCTCAGCACCAAAAAGCTTAATCAATACTGGTGCCCAACACCTTATGCCTTGATAGAGAATATGGAACCCAGAGCTCATCGGGTACTCAGAAAGGCATTAATCCTTGTGTAAAAAAACCCAAGATCCTGCAGCATTTATATTACTTAGTTTTCAAACAACAGTATTAAGGAATGGATTGCAACAGTCACAATGTACATTTAGGAAAGGGTCTTCGAGAATGGGGAAGGAAAAAAGCTTTGCGGAAAGGAAAAAAAATGTAATTGGTTGTACATTCTCCTCTGGTATCCTTTCACTTCAGTACATGTGAAAGTTGGATTTCCCCTCACAGTCACAATTTTTATTTTCTATTTTTTGACTGTTCTGAAAAGGGAGAAGTATTGCTGATCTCACCAGTAGGCTCTTGTACCTTAAATTTCCTTTCATCCAGCTGCTAGAAACACAAAGAAATAGACCTTCTGTACGATCTGATCTTCATTATTGTTGTATTTCTGCTCTCATAAGCTTATACAAGCAGCTGCAGTCTTAATGCATTATTTTTTGGCTCTGCTTTCATATGTTAAGGACAGGAAAATCATCAGGATTAGAAATAAATCAATTTGGCTCTCAGAACAACAGCTATCTCTACTCTCCAATTCTTCACCAGATATTGAGCTCATATGGTTCAAATTTTCCTATAGAGAGCGTTATTGAAATAGATGTCCTTGGCTGGTATTAAAAATTTTATAATGTTTGCCTGCTTACATTCTACCTCAGACAGAAGTTTAAGACAAATTAATACTACATAAAAAAAGCTAGCCACAGAGTACAAACAGCACACCATCTACACTCTGTCCTTCCACTTATCAGATCAGCTGCTGTTCAGACAGAATGAGCCCACCATGACTTCAGAAAGTTAGTATTAAAACTCAGTGGGGGTGTTTCTGCTTGTACATCAAGTGCTCTGCTGACTCCTATCCATGCAGGCAAATCTTTAAATTTAATTCTAAAAATTCTTTCTAGGAAGGTAAACAGCCACCTATTGAATTTCACTCTCTGCTCAACTCTTATGTTATTATATCTGGTTTTTCCATTTTTGTCAAATCAGACACAGCAACAATGCCTTGTCCCGCTAACCATGCTGGATATGCCGTTGCCTATCCCAGTAGAAAACGCCCTTAAACCTAATCACCCTTAGCTCATGAAAAAAAAAAAAAAGCACGTGGTGTGCATAGGCAAATGGGGAGCAGTAGGTGGCATTACAAAGGTTATTCTTCGTACAGGGATTATCTGAAGATGAAGTTTAATAAACGTTAAAATAATTCAGAGAATGGAGAACTTACCTTCCTTAGCCAAGTATAACTCCTTAAATTTTGCTCTCTTTTGATTAAATTCTTGCTCAAGTTGCTGCTTTGTGCGCAGAAATTCTGCATTGACCTTTTCCAATTCTGCTACCCGCTGTAGAAGAGCAACTAAAAATAAAATGGAAGATAAGGTACATCACTATCAGTTAAGGCATCCCATTCTGCAAGCTTGAGGTTTGGGGCTTATTCTTTTTAAAACATCTTTACTCATTAGCTCAGCTGTTGCCCCATGATACATCAGGACAACTAGTCAGGGTTAAGCAACAAAGGCAGTTAAGTTTTCTTAGGCTATAGCATCAAATTGTAATTAGACATCTTCATAGCACTAGAGGTGCATGTGGCAGGGAATTCTGTAGAAAACAAACAACCTCCCAAAGAAAACCACAATTTTCTAAACTCAATGAAGGAAGAAATGTAAAGAAAAACCCAGCTCCAGAATTATCTGTTGGTGCTTCTTTCCAAAACACTGGGAATTTAGCCATGAGGCACAGGAACAGTGTGTGAAGGCTGAGCAACAAAGCACCAAGTTCTCAAAAGCTGGGGTCAAAGAAAACAATGCGACAGCTGCTCAGCTAACAACTATGAAAGAACAAAGCACAGAAAAATCTGCAAGCTAAAAATTAGGTGCCATTATCTTTTCTGTCTTCAGTGCTGCACGTTCACCAAAAGAAGGTGAACCAGACTATACTCGGAGAAGTTTGCCAGAAGATGACCACAACCTATGGAGAAATAATTGATTATAAGATCAAACTCTCCTCATTTCCAGCAAGGAAAAATCCTCAAGGGCACACACATACCTCACTATTTTCCAGTATTTACCACATTAGCAGTTGATCTGGTGGTACAGCAAAAGAGGGAACAGTAGGAAGCCCACAAAGCACCTAAAGATTGTTATAATGCAGTTATTATTGAAAAAAACCCATACATTACCACTGTGTGATGCTATGAAGATCCCACACAACCACCAACCCTGTATCATTGACCTTCATGTGCAATATTAACTTCTTTGCACCTCAAGAAGTATAGGCCTGGTTTAGGTGCTGGACAGCTTCATATTGCACACCTCAGAATTCAAATACAAAACAGAAACTAGAGACAGATGAGCTAGACAAAAACCATCTCCATGCTGCAATGCATGGGGCAAATCGTGCTCCTCCACACGATTCTCTCTCTCTTCTGCAAAAGCATTTTATGGACATGTTCCAACTCTGTCGTGCAGAGCTGAATCACTTCTTTCCAGTTATAGCCTCTATACAGCGCAGACTACACACATACAATATTGATCCATCAGAAGTGTTTACATATCCCAACCCAACACACTTCCCACCAAGAGTAAGTAGTGAAAACAGTGCAAAGGCTACACAACTTCAGCATCAACTATTTAGACTTACAAACAGCTGGAATCAGACCTAGAGCTTACAGTGGTAAAACACTGGATGGTCGACGCCTTCGAGATTGGGTGGGCTGTATTTATTTTTAGTACCAGATGACTTAGAGTAAGAGCAGACACAAACAAATGGACCTTTTAAAAGCACAGGTATGTCTTGCTGATCACTGGTTATGAGAGCTTATGGTGTTATAAAATACAGCACTTAATCTGTTCTACCCTGTATCAGATAAAAGGTATATGTAGATACAAGACTGAAGAAATTTTAGTGTTGCTTTTTTACTGAAATCCTCATTTTGTGGGTTTGTTTGGTTTTGGGTTGGTTTGTTTCTTTGTTTGGGGTTTTTTTAATCACCTTGAACCTCAACACATCAGTCTTCCTGGCCAGCAACCCCTACCCGAATAGTGCAAAGCCGACTGCACAGGAGTATTCACTGAAAATGAAGGGAACCTGTCACAAAGATGGCACACTGAGAGCAAAGCCTCAAGTGAGTTAGGAAAGCGGCTGAATCAAAGCCAGGAAAGAAACAGCACACATGGAGCCAGGCCCAGGTAGCAAAAACACTTCCCAAGGCTAAAGAGTTGCCTTTGATCTCTTGCTGAAGTCTTCCAAAGGGAAAGCGTTTGCCTACATCTCCACTCCCTGCTGACTTCTTGGAGAGGGTGATGCTGCCAGCAAAGCTGCTTCGCGCAGCCCGGGGGGAGAGCAGCTCGCTCGCGGTCCTGGCCAGAGCCCCCGAGCGCCCGCTGCGCCAACTCCTGCTTCACGCCTCTGAGGAACAAAAACCAAGCCCGGCTCTGAGGAGGTGGTTTTGATCTCAGAGTTTCAGCTCTTGAAAGGAAACTATGGGAGGCACTAAAGCCTAAGAGAGCTGTATGCCTGGGCAGGGGCAGGTCCCCAAGCCCCGCAGGTCCAGCCGGGCAGGGCCAGAGCCCCCGAGCGCCCGCTGCGCCAACTCCTGCTTCACGCCTCTGAGGAACAAAAACCAAGCCCGGCTCTGAGGAGGTGGTTTTGATCTCAGAGTTTCAGCTCTTGAAAGGAAACTATGGGAGGCACTAAAGCCTAAGAGAGCTGTATGCCTGGGCAGGGGCAGGTCCCCAAGCCCCGCAGGTCCAGCCGGGCAGCTCTGCGTCAGCAGCTACTGGCCAGGAGGCCTGAAGCCACACGCACATGTTCAAAACAAACCAGGAGGAATCCGGACATCGCTCGCCTCACAAACACTGTTTTGAAGACCATACAGAAAATTGTTTGATTCTACAATTAGTAATTCTAAAAGTTAACGAATCAACCACAGACAGCAGTCAACCCCCCCAAGAAGACTCAAGCACTCCTTGTTTACTTGTTTCCAGCTTTCTTTTGCAGAGAGACAGCAGCAGCTGTATTACTGCTCCCATCAGAGAACTGTTGTGCAAAGCAACCGAGTTGTATTTCTTCCCAAGGTGAGAGTTGCTTCTGCTGAGGATGGAAGGACGAGAGGACACTACATGAGCAGAAAGTTCAAGTGCTTTAAGCTGGAGGAACAGGCTCACCTTTTAAATCCTCCCACCCAAACAGAAAGAGGCAGGCAGAGTCACCAAGCAGGAAGTGCAATTTTTACAGCATTCCCTCCCTCTCCGTAGCCTGGCAGTTACATGTAAAAAGTAATAACTAAATAAATAATCACCCTCCACCACAAGAGCTCTGGCAGCTGTTGGGACCAGTTGCAGGCATTCAAAAACCCAAACAGTTTAAGATTCCAACTGCAAGTCATGCATCACTGCAACTGCATATTAACATCATTCTTTCTATTCAGATTCCAAGTTTAAAGGGTTTTTACCACCTGTGCTACCTACACAGCTCAGGACAGAGCTTAGCTTATCCACACTGCAGTGATACAAGGCACATAAACCTGAGGACAATCAGCTATGCAATATATCAACCCCTCAAAACACATGTGTGTAAAAAATAAAAGCAAAAGAAGGTTTATTTTCTAAGACAGCATGACAACTACCTCCTTTCTAATAAGTATAAGTGATTAAGTCTACAAAAAATTATTTTCTTCCCCAGGGGCGTGATGTATACGATAGCTATAGAGTCACTCCACTTTCTAAAATGTAAGCGTGAACCCAAATCCAAACTGCCAGATGCAGGTAACCGCAGAACACATGGCACAGATTAAAGTCTGCCTGGAAACACACTGAGACTGAAGTCAATGGCAGGAAACGGACTCAACCATAGATTTTTGATTAGGCCTTTGTCATTTATAGCTTACTGCTTGCTCTGAATTTAAGTCCAACTCTTCCCAGGTCTGCAGAGCTGAAAAAGAAAACTTTTTACTTGCCAGCGTAGGCTATCCACTTAAAAAAAATCCCCAAATCAAACCAGTCATTTTGCAGTGACAGTATTCATGAACTCGCCAGAGTTGCCGTCTCTACGCTCCCATTTCCATGCCCAGAAATGCAGCTATCGGTGTTTAATGACACCAGTGAAGTATATAGTAAACAAAGCCTGATAGACGGTCAGTTCTGGTGGAGCTACACCCCACTGAAACTAGATCTTGTGTTACATACGACACCAGAACAGGCACAGAACATGCTGTATTTCATAAAAGCAGTAGCGTGGAAGTCTTAATTCCCTAATTAGGGCCCTAACTCATCAAGAAACAAACAAAAACCCCAAAGACCCAGTTTCTTAACTCCTGAAAGAGCACTGAGAAGAATTTAAACTAAAATTGATATGCCAAACTAAAAAACAAACTCCAGTGAAAAAGAAACAATTTTCTCTTAACCCACTAGACAGCAAAATTTCAATTCAAGGAAAACACCAGATCCAACACACATTTCTTATTGAATAGTTACTCAAAAGCTGTTCCACAGCTCAGCTCCCAAAAGGATTAAATTTTATGTGTGACAAAGTTTCCAGTTACACAAACATGTAGTGACCGCTCCAGAACTAAGACAGACAAAGCTGATTATCAATAAGACTATTTTTGAGTACTAGGTCTATTTATAAAATTAATGCTACAAAGCTTTCTACTTGATATTTAAAGCGTCAAGCATGACATCAAGAGTTCAGTCCTGCATCGCTGAAACCTGAAAAACAGATCAGAAAAACACCCATACATGCTATAATCTTTTTGGAGACAAAAATTATTTTTAAAAAAATTACTTCTGTCATGCTTCCATCATTCTTCTGTCATCTTCCACCTTTTTCTTTTCCTGTCATGATTGATTGAGACAGAAGCATGGAAAAATAAAAATGTATGGCTGCCCATTTCTCTTCAAGCTTATTTCTTAAGAGCACCAATTTTCATCTATCATTACATCATATGGGAGTCACAATTATGTTACTATATAAATTTTTAATCTAAGAGTCTGCCACCAGGATGTGTAGTTAAGACTGCAGAAAGCTTTTCTTTATTTTCTTCAAACAGGATTTGATTTTAAAAAAACCAAACAACACACACACCCCCACCCCCAACATCCAACCTCCCCCCATTAAAATATACTCTAATACAGTTGTTCTGTAACAGGCCCCCAGAAGTAAGGGACTAGATCATGGCACCTTTAATAAACACGCTGAACAGAAATAAGTCCTGACGCACGAAATGGAGGTTGCTTTAGGAACAAAATTTGCCCTTACACAGATATTCAGCAGCAGCAGATCAAACTGAAGGGGGGAAAAAAAAAGGAAGAGAGGAATTATTTGTTTTTCCCAAACTTGCATTTGGAAGCATCAAGC